ATAAAAAACATGCGGGAAATTACGTCTTGACTAGTTTAAACCAAAAGCATCTGATAATTTCCGACCGTTCTGCATGCATGTCATTTTGATGGTTTCAAGGGATTTAACGTAACTTGTCCATTTAATTGTATTTCACTGAAATGTACACAAGCAATCATTCTCTGGGTGTTAATCTCCACTTGCTCTGAATTATCACTGGTAATAGAATCATCTGAAATTAATGCCGTATCAAATGCATTCAGTTAACATCCATTCTAATCAAATAGGACAGAGTTTCTTAGCCAATTAATCCATTTCCGGAGAACTTAAAAATCCCATTTAACAAAGATTTTCCACGTGTTCATATGCTCTTCGCATGTAATATGCAGAATCCTAGTCATCTTACTCGTGGCATTATGATATTCTGCACAAGCAGGCATACGCTATATGCATATGATTGAATATATTCTGTTAATACTATTCTACAAGTAAGCCATCCTCTGCTTTAATAGACATCATAAAATAGCGTCCAATGAAAAGTTATTACCCAGAATATTTTACTTTTTCAGATGACAATCACCAGTCGCATCAGCAATTATATCTAGTTTCTGGATCTAGGATTCACTGCGTTTCTATCATTGTTGAATTGGCATAAGTGATATGCTTGTTGCTAGAAAAAAGATGGGTTTATTGTTCTAGACATACGTATGAACTTCCCCCTTCCATATTCGATCAGATTGAATAAACACTCGAGCACTTGAAATATGACCAACCTTCTACAGCCAAAACCCTGCGGTTCAGCAATCATTTATAACCATAATATACATATCGTTGTTCAACAAGGACTTATGATCAACCGAATCAAAAAGTTTAACTCTTGGCGTACGATCTTCTAATCATTTATTTTCATTTATTTCTATATTGCATCTTTATAAAGAGAATTGGTTTGATCTTGAAGGGTACTCTCTAAAATGTTATGACCGTGGTTACACTTTGCTAGTCCTTTTGCCTAAGCAAATAGTTAACAATAATTCCCCGCTGTATATTTTGAAGTGAATGATGTATTGCAAAACCCTACATGAAGGAGCCGATATTTCCATCGTAGAACATATAAATGGAATGTTCTTCAAAGTGGACAATGTTAAAGTAAGCTTCAGTTACGAACTTCAATGACTTAAATCAAACGGATTGGTCGAAAGCGACGATTGCTTTTGAATGCTTTATTTTGAATTATAATGAACATTAACCCCCAGTAAATGCAGTGCATTTATCTGGTGGATTCAGTTTTTTCAAACGAAGCATGATACTATAAAATTGAGTTGCGTTAATGTCCGAGAAGATTTCTTTAAAGGAAACGATCCATTTTTGTCTGGATGTCTCTAATGATAATTAGGTTTCTAGAAGGATTCAAAAATGATAAATTTGTTCCGGTTCTGCAAAAAAGAAATGTTGCATTACATCAGCATAATTTTGAAACTTGAGCTCATTAAATGCGACTTGATTAGTGGAGTAGAAAAAGAAATCAAATGACTCTTGCCATTAGAATCTCGGCTATTTTGATAATCCTTTTTGGTAGGTTTAATTTTTTGTTTCTTGCTTAAACATATTAGAGTAGCTGGTAGCAGCTACAGCACTGGTATCTATTTCCTGTCAAGTTTCAAACCCAGTACGGTAATGCAGCAACAAATCGGGGAGTTATGAAAGAAAAACAACATAATTTGAAAAATCATTATTATTATAATCTGGTTTAAGGACTAAGGAAATTATCTCAATCTCCACTGAGACGATTGGTTTCCGAAATTTTTCCGCCTAGAAAAAAATAAATAAATAAAAATTTAGCATTTTAAAGATCTGTCTGAGAAATAATGACGTAATAGCAAACCTTTTTCAATGTTACCTCTGTTTAAAATATGTTTGCTTTTGTAAAATAGGTCATAACATAAAGAAACACAAGATGAGATATCTATAAAGTGCATGTTATTAAGAGCGATACATTTAATGCGTATGCAATTTCGATTACAGTAGACTGGTTTTAGAAATAGTGTAATTGATGTCTACCGGCTTATGCTTTCGCACACACGCACACACAGGCGCGCGCACACACACACACACACACACACACACACACACACACACACACACACACACATATATGCAAGTTTCATTAAAATCGACGGACAAGGTACTACGGTTGAGCTTTTTATTCAATTTTTCTTGTGTTCTGACAAGAGCTTTCTTTTCTGGACAAAGGGTGTGTAAGAACTGTCCAAATGTTTTATATTTCCAAGCGCTTTCGGCTATACATTTAGCCATGTGTAAGTTGTGTAAGTTTGAGGTGGTACTGTGCTTCATTATATTTTAGTTCAGTCAAGGTGTTTTTTAGTGTAGTCTTAATTTATGGTTTGATAAATTTATATATTTGTCTTCACTGTTTTGTAGTAAAATATTTCCCTGTTACAATTTACAAAGTAACATTAGCATCAAACAGCACCAACTTAAACAGAACGCACACACTCAACTAATGTGAAAATCGAATCATCCTTGATAATGGCTAAAGGTATAGCCGAAAGCGCTCGGAAATATAAAACATTCGGACAGTTCTTACACACCCTTTGTCCAGAAAAGAAAGCTCTTGTCAGAACACAAGAAAAATTAAATAAAAGGTCAACTTTAGTACCTTTTCTCTGTCGTTTTAATGAAACATGCATAAAGGAAGGAAGGAAATTTAACTATCAAATATATATATATATATATATATATATATATATATATATATATATATATATATATATATATATATATATATATATATATATATATATATCCAGGCATTGTGCGTAAAACTCAAAGAAAGCAAAAATCAATGTTTACAAATATAATAATGTATCCGGCGCCTCTTAGAAATTCTTATTTTGTCACTCAAATACTAATGAAATGTAATCAGATAAATTTGACGACAGTTTAGATACACACATCATTTAAGAAAAAAAAAGGCAGAGGTCAAAATATATTGATATGGAATGTATTTCAATCTATTAACGTATATCTTGAAAAGGTCTTTCTAAATCTAGGACCATTTCTCAAAGTAAGACTGAAATAATTTTACATTCATAACACATGAAATCACGTTCAGTACAACTTTTAAGATCTCATATGTTATTCCGATTGTGTCTCAAACTCATACAAATTTTCCTTTTGAAAAAAAAAAACATTTTTTTTTATAAAATACCAGAATAATACAATTTAGAAGTTTTTGCTCCTGTTATCAGATAACTTATTCGAGAGGAAGAATAACAAAACAAAACAGTTAAAAAAAACCTGCATGTTGGAAATTATATGTTAAACACACAAACACAGACAGTCCGACACGCGCATGCGCACACACGCAAACAAACACGGACATAAAGATATGCACACAATGACCCACACGTGCCTACTTACACGCACTCACACACACAGATATACACAATAAAACAAAAGCCTACCCGTTATACATACGTAGTTATTTTACTTTATTTGCTTTCAGAGTAGTGTCCTCATCATTGTTGTTATTATCATAAACATTTTGTTCTTGTTTCCGACAGCCTTCTTCACGTGTCCATGGATTAGAATAAGTTTTAGAAATTTTCCATCTGAAAACTTTTCACTATGAGTTTAGATTGTTTATGTTATCCTGTGCACGTCTTTCAAATACTTTGGCCCCAAACGTAAGGATCAAATCATAACCAGTTCAGATGTATTGACTCGTATTATTGGTAATATCACAACATTTCGAGTACTGATTCCCCAGCATTTTTTCGGTGTCTACAGATTCTATTAAATTACAAATATTTTCGAACAGAATACTGTTTAATCCTTGGCAATAGTTTGCTTTTTTTCACCTCGCCAAAGTAATAAACCCAGTTTGGCGCAAGAATTTACTGAGTGTTTGAGCATATGAGAAAAATAAAATATATATAAAGGACAATAAAAGAAAAAAAAAGTACATTATAACTGCTGTTGTCTCATCCAAGCCTTCTTTTGGTGTCTCTCGATCCATGTTAATTTCAGGAATTTTCGAATTCTTCACAACTTACTCAATGCAGATAGTTAGAACTATAGTAAAAATAAGACCAAATATACCTAGAAATTCACAGTCAAACAAGAGAAATGAACGTTTAGATTGTAAATTTACACTGATCTGCGAGATAAGTGAAGCCATTAATCTAGGTAGATATTGTTTTTCCTCTAGCAGATAGAATAATGTTAACCTCGTTAAGATTTATATAGGTAAGTACAAAAATTGTGTATTATCATATAAGGGGAGCATGATTTATTTTTTGCTGTATATCTCTAGGTATATCTCCTTTTCTGCTTGTCTTCTTTCCAGCTGAGCGACTAAAATGGTAATTACTCTGCCAAGCTCACTGAACAAATATCTACCCCAGTAAATTTATTCTTGCTTTGTTGTAAATGATGATATATCCCTAACCAATAAATTCGGTCATATACTCTACTTTGTTTGTCCATACTTCAAGTAATTATAATAAGTTGACATTCGTAATCTTATGTATCCACTGATCTCTAATAACTAGTTATATGTGAATGTAAGATTCTTGAAGTAAAGTGTTGCCACTATAGATTTTAGCAATTAATCGATGAAAAAAGAATCTTGACGTTCATCTATGCAAGTGGAAAGTTTTAAAGGTCGTGACACAACAGTCGTTTGACTTTAGAACTTGGAACGACGGATTCCGACGATATTAATCTCGGCACCAAGCGAATCTATATCAATTAATTCACTCTTTGTGTCGTCATTTATTGGACAGTAGTGATTAACAAACGGCATTTCAATACGACCTCCGATCGCCACTCTCACGTTGACACGAGGCAGCCATGAAAATCAATGGCAGACACGATTCTGGAATGTCATTTCTCGTCTAAACCCCCAGATGAGACCCGGCTCAGCGAGCCAGATCACTTCATTTGGCGGACGTCAAACAAATTATTAGATAATTCTTCAAATCTTTGCTGACCGTGCTATGCGTTACTACCTACAGTTGAAATGCCTATTTTGCGACACGCGTCCCAGCATCCTTCAACCCTCCGGAAACGTGCTATATGTCTGTTTGGCGCGCAAGTATGCAATACGACTGTGATGTCGGAAGACAGTTTTGGAGTCAAGAATTGGGGATTTGATTCGACTTTCCAATAGATCTACTGGACTTAGCTTTCAGAATGTGTGGTTTATTGTCAGGATAGAGGTATTTAAAAGGCTTAGAGTTATTAGCTGTCTGTTAGAGACATTGAAACAAATATTTTCTGAAGTAGAAACCAAAGACTAAAGACAGATACAAGAAACACGAAGAAATCGTTTAACACATCCACACAGATCCATTCATCTATCTATCTATCTATCTATCTATCTATCTATCTTGGTCTGTTCGTATCTATCTATCTATCTATCTATCTATCTATCTATCTATCTATCTATCTATCTATCTATCTCAGTCTGTTCATATCTATCTATCTATCTCAGTCTGTTCATATCTATCTATCTATCTATCTATCTATCTATCTATCTATCTATCTATCTATCTATCCAGCAATGCAGCTTTGTAATAACAAACGCAATCACACACACACGTGCTCGTATGCATGCGCGCACACACAAAAAAACACATAAACAAAAACACGCATACATGCATACAGTCACGAAATGATTCACATATGTATCAGGCGGTGATACAGAAAGGCATCTATATATATGTATATATTGATTTGTGCCTCCACACACACACACACACACACACACACACACACACACACACACACACACACACACACACACATATATATATATATATATATATATATATATATATATATATATATATATATATATATATATATCGTCCTTACAATATCATTATCAGTATGAGTTAAATATTTATACAGAAACATTACATATGTGAGTGATAAAACACATTTTACAAATGAATTAAGCCAAAAGTAAAATATAATTAAATTCAGTTGATGCTATATGAAACATTTATACTTTGTTTAATATGCTTAGAAAATATCAATATTGATACATTTTCATATAAATATATTATACCATTTCATTCTTGTCTATCTCCGTCTGAATATGTTTCAAATTACATCATTTTCGATTAATTTAAGTCGAGACATTCCAAAAATGTTCGCTTATACATAGAAACATTATGACTCACACACTTGGTAATGAATGAAACACTATAATATACTCGAAAAACAAGAACAAAATATAACATTTTAACATTTTCTGTATAGTATTGATACTGATGTAGTATCATTCACTCGGAAATGGAAAACGAACTGACCGGTATATAGCTGTAAGCATATACGCATCAGCATATAGAAAAACATGCATGGTAATTATTATGAACACTGTTTTTTCTGCAACATTAAAAAGATAAGCTATAATCTGTTTGCGCTACTTCATGATATTTGAATAGGTATTCAAATCATTATTTACACACCCATACATATAGTATATATATATATATATATATATATATATATATATATATATATATATGTATGTATGTATGTATGCCTGCATACAGAAATACAAATAAGCTATAACAAAAGTTTAGATACGGTGTCCCTGATCAGTTAATAATATACATATTATCCCACACCGGTAGCACGGTATTTCTTCATGCAAAACACAATCTTCAGGTGCTGCTGTGAAATTCTGATTCGTGGTATAGTTGAGAGATAATAAGTATATAAATATATACTTGTTAATATTTATGTTATATTACATCGAGCACTATTTTACAAACACCAGCACAATGTTCGATATATATATTCATATATATTTCATTCATAAACAGGTTCGGGGTTTTTGTATATTATTTGAATTGTTCGCTACGATGGATTTCTCGCCAATTACATCATTAACCTTTGTATTTGTTTTTTGTATGAATAGTTCATGAATTTGTAAATTAATTGCACCTTTATTGAAATTAAAATAACTGATCCAAGTGCAACTTTTGGATAATAAGTGCAACATTACTGTAATTATTGAACAATATAGTTCATGCCACTTTGACAGAAAATTTACCAGTAAAAAAGAATTCACTTATCACTATATTTGTACAAGAACGCACAATTGTAAAATTTAAATTCAAACTCAGCGTTGCGACTGCACGCTCCAAAAACAATAACTCATCTCTATTTTTCGGATTACAATACATATATTTTCGTTGTCCTCTTATTACTGAGAGTAAAAACAAGAACAAAATCTTTTCCATACCTGAGGAAAGCTTGTAAAAATAATAAGAACTTATGCAACAGAAATTTATAAAAACAAGGATCTTTTCATTGATAAACAGGTTCGGGGTTTTTGTATATTATTTGAATTGTTCGCGACGATGGATTTCTCGCCAATTAAATCATTAACCTTTGTATTTGTCTTTTGTATGAATAATTCATGAATTTATATATATATATATATAGTTGTATGTGGGTGTAAACTTCATATACATCGCTATTCACGTGGCTGTTGAACATAATACAATTGTTTTAATCACAGTATCGGTAGGGATTATAACATGTCCATAAAAATAACTGATACCCCTAATTCGAACATATTTCATTTTTGAGAAACAGAAATTAAATACGTTGCAAGTCTATAACGAAATGACAGAAAAAAATCTGATACTAACATACGAAAGTCCACTGGAATAGCAACAGATGTCTTTCAAATCCTATGCAAAGTATTAAGAATCAGTAACATTTCGTTAAAATCAAAATAAATACTTTTGAAATAATGAGATAACAGTTGTCTTATATGGCAGTGTACGCTGAAAAATCTCCTCACGAATGATGAAGTGACTTGAAGCAACAGAATATGAATCTAGAGAAGGAAGCTGAGGATAACGATAGCCAAACATGTTAGCAACAACGAAGATTAACAGAAATTTGAAAAAGGCATTATAACTGACATCAGAAAGTGACATTTGAAAATTCTTAGTACTATACACCGGGCAGATTGAAAACAAGGGGGACGAGCGTAAACAGATAGGTATCTATATATACTCGAATACCGAGTATATATATAGGAATATATATAAACCTATATATATCTATATAGGTATCTATATAAACTAAGTACCGAGCATGAGTGAATGGATGGCCGAACAGGATTTAAGG